TTAATTGTCCATCCCCGCAAACTATAGTTCCGATCTCTGTGTCTGCTATCCTCAGTTCCTGCCGACCGTAATCGCTGTCTTTCTTTCTCTCTGCCTGCTTTGTCTCCGCTACGTCTCTGCCTCCGTCTGTCTCTCTCACTGTCTAGCGTACTTATATACGATAATACTGCCTGTTCTAGAAACTTCTAAGACTCTCAACACGTGCTACCAGCGTCACTTGACTCCCGCTGTCGTAACACACTAGCGAATCTTCTAGAATACTCGTCACGTGACCCCCGCTGTCGTAACACACTAACGAATCTTCTAGAATACTCGTCACGTGACCCCCACTGTTTAAGACTAATGTTGTGCTTATCAGGTTTATTTACACCTCGATTTACAATCCCCCAAAAATCTGGTTGGTCATGTTGGAAATCAACCCAACACAATGTAGGGGAGGATATAGCACCTCCAGCTTGTTCAAACAAGTTCAATTTAATGGCTTTCTTGACCATATGGTCCACAAATCTATTATGTAAAACAATGGTTCATATAAGAAAATGCAAATGCTGGTTGACCTCTTGCTATGTACAACCTACACAATTCTGAGATTAACCATTTCACACTCAGACATTCTGGTTCTCATTTAAAGAAAATGTGCGACAACAAATTTTGAAAAATTATTCATAATGTACATATCCCCAAAAATCACTGCACTGTATTTCCAAAAGAAGTGTTACGAGATAATGGATTACATTTAAGGATTAAAGAGTCTTTAAATAAATAGACTTAAACGAATAGTGCTACAAAATTATGTTGAAGTATGAATTTCCTGAAACTTGCAAAGAAAATTTAAAATCAAGGAAGCCTTTTGTATGCCATGTGGTATATTGCTTCTTACAAATAATATGTTAGTTATCAGTTTTTAATTAATGTGTGTATTTTGTAGGATTATGACTGAATATAGAACAAATACATAGATGATGATTTTGGAGAGTAGTATATGATATTTACTACAGAAGTAAAATACTAAATAAAGTAAATGCTTTTCATGTGCACTACAGCGGGTCTAGTAGATCGAGTAGCAGTTGGACCAACATTTTGTCACAGTTACTGTAGGGCTTTTAAAACTTTAACTTGCAGTTCAAGAATTGTTTCTAGGTAAATATATAGATTTATAATAGTATGTATGAAAGAATCAATATAACAATGTAAAATAAATTACATGTGTAATCTGTAATGTATTGTGCTTGCTTACAGTTATGGTGAGTATTGTACAAGTGAGCACCTATTTTTTGTGAATCATAAAGAAGTGTTTGCAAAAAATTAATACTTTCAATAAATTATAGTAAAGTTAGCATAAAATTCAATCTTAAAGCAGCTATTTTTAATTTTTTTCCCTAGAGAGCACACTAGGTTAATCTACTTTTACAAGATGGCCGTAGTGATGCTTTGAAAGTAATTCTGATTTGGTGATCATTACATTTGTTTAATTCCGATACATAGAATTATAAATGTCTTTAATGAGAAAGATAAAACACCAAAATTACTGAATTCAAAGATGGTTTATCAATATAGATGTGTCTTAGATGTAATTTAGATATATAGATTTTCAGTTGTTAAATTGCGATTATAAAAGAAGTAGAACTCCCTTTTATGATTCTCTTTGTACTAGCAACTTGGATTATAGTATGGTACAACAGAGGATATACACTTTGTGATTTGCTTTTTTCTTTCAATCATAAAACCAAGAATGTCAGTGGTTAGAATCCTCAAGAGGTGGAACACTTCTGGATCATTCCACCCTATATATTAAAAGATTAGAATACAGAACTAGAGAATACACTGATTTAAGGTCAATAAAACAGTCAAATAAAAAAAGGGATGGGCATGAAGCGAATGTGATACAACACTAAATCAGACTTATTTTGAATATTTTTAAAGCTAATGATAAACTACGGTTAAAGATTAAAGACAGTCTTTTAATAAATAGACTTAAGCTAGAATAAATGTAATTTGCTGGCATATCGTATCTTTTCTACATGTTTTAGTTATAGGGAAATTTTTAGAAATGTTCATTTATTCAATGTGTATGGAGTTGCTTTGTTTTCTAGAGTAGGTAATGTCTATTCTGGCCAATGGGATGTAACATATTAGCATGTTTTGAAAGGATTAGCACTTTAATATTCTTTGCTGGCCATGTGGATATTGTCTAAATGGAACAGCTGACCAATGCTACGGCAGAATAAAGTCACAGAAGACACTGTTGACTGGACAGAAAAAACTGAACTTACTATTTGAATTCAGGTGTGTTTTCTTAGTTCAATTTTCACCTGGAGATTGATGACTACAGACCTACTATAAGATCATCATTTTAAGCTTGACAGGTGTTTCTCCTGAGAGAAAGAAACCTGTGAAATTAACTACACTTTAGTAGAAGTCACTGTCATTTTGTTAATACAAGTATGTATGCTGTGTTTTCTTTTTCTCTGTTTTGTAATAAAGATTGTGTTTACTAATGGAGAGCAAAGAGTCATGTTGTACAGGAGATATGTCAAGTCTAAGAGAAGACCTCTCCTTGAAATAATGTCTCCAATGATCACTTCATATGGTGCTTTGGATACTATATGTCCTACACGATCTTCTGGCAGTCCAGCCCTCAAGGTTAAAGTCTTGCTGGAGTCCACCCCACATCTATATTTCCAGGACTTATGTGCACCTTGAGATGTACGCAGTGCTGGAAAACTCTTATTGGACTTAGGAATGTAATGGTCCAATCAGAGATGCAAGTTCATCTGGCAGCTCTTACTTGTGGTAGTGTTACACTTTAAGATTGGACAAGTTATTGGTCATGATTTGCACCCATCAGCCTGGGAAACAACTCTAACTGTTAGAAACCATTCACCAGCAGCACATTCAACATCTGTGCACTAGTTGCAAATGGTCTTGAACAGAGCTGGAGCTGCTGTGCTCTGACTGGTGACAGTTTAGGAGTTTGGTGGATGTGATCTCAAATTCACCATTTTCCATTCCAAAGGTTCCCAGTCATCCATACATTTCCCGTTCATCAAGATCAATCCTCCCTCAGGGGTACTGCTTGGTTGAGTGGTATGATGCACCAGACATGAGTAAACCTCACTGAGTTAGCAGCTGCAGGCTGACCAATGTCGTAAATCTTCAGAGCAACAGCAGAAGCCCCCTAGAAAGAGCAGAGCACAGAACTATTTTCTAAGCCATCTAAGGTAATCATGAAGTGGCCCTTGTTAGAGAAGGTTCCTGTGCTCAAGCATCATTGCCAAGAGATGGCAGTCAACTGAACAAGGCCTGGGCCCTCTGTAATCAGGAAGAAACTTGGATGAAGCAAAGGGCCAATCATCTGTTGAGATATGAGAAGGAAGTCTGGCACTTGCAGAATAGGCTAGTTGAAGTGTAGCAGAACCTGGTGGGGTTTGAATAAACCTCAAGACATATGCAACTGCCATTCAAAAGATGACAGTAAAATAAATTTACATAAGTCTTTGGACATTGTCAAAGTACAATTGCTAAATATAATGATAATTAAACAAGTAAAACACAAAACAGTAATCATGGAGAGAAACTACAGCTAGAAAACACACACAAAAAAAAAAGAAGGTAAAATCAGTAATACGAACATATTAAAAAATGTATAATTTAAATGAAGACTGCATGTTGGTCAGTGTTGGAGAGTGCTATTTGATGTGGAGGGTTTCTTTAATCAATAATTCCAGGTCAGTGTTATTGATGACAAGATGACAGTAGTACTGGGAGCACTCGCTGTTTGTGGGTTAAGGTGAATGTTGTGAAGTCTCAACCACTTTCTTGTGTAAGTGTATATTTAGTGTATAGACTTAAATTATAATTTATTTTTTATATTCTTTATTGTGTATTTTAATTTAATGTGCCCTTTGGCTTCTGCTCTCATGATTGTGTTTAGACAAGGATTGAACATTTTATGCTATGTATTTAGTACTATGTTTCATTAATTTTTGTGTAATGACATGCCATGGCTCTTTCATGCATGTGTAAAAAAAAAACAGGGATTTAAAAGATTTTTTGTATGTATATATCTTTTCTTTAATGTTATGTATAGTGTATATGTGTTTAACATGCCCTTAGCTGCTTCTGTATATGAGTTTACATCAGATTCTGTTAGTTTTTTTTATGCCATTATTGGTTAAAGGGTTTCTTTTCATCGTGTGATGTGCATTATTGATGAGGGTTTTCATTTTTAGCATTTTAATGTATCATGTTACACTGCCTCTTTTGTGAGAGGGTAGTTCTATACCTTTATTGAATTTCTGGTTTAAAATGTGTAATCTTTGTTAAAGTTAAATTTTTTCCTTCCTTATATTTTGTGTGCTATTCCATCCACTCTTAAAGTGGGAAGTGTGTCTTTGCACACAATTATTTCTTTCTTTTCTTTAGTTTTACTTTTTGTGGTCGTAAGTATGTACTTGCATATTGCTTCATTTATGTTAAAGAGTATATGAAGTTAAGGGGTTGTATCTTGTATTGTTAAAAGGTTTTTGATGTCATTGGGACACATAAGGAATAAAGTAAACATACTACTTGACCATGTCATGAATTTAAATGTTATTGATTTTAAAGTTAAGTTTAATTGTCAACTTGAGGACAAGCCTGAAATAGAGAAGGGAGGAAAAGTGTGATTGTAAGCATTTCATGTTTTCTATTTGCTTTAGTGATATAGAAATTTTAGACTTTTTTTATTTACTGTGTGTGCAGTTTTAGCATAAACTCATTATCCAGAAGGTCATTGAGACTGCCTTGTTCTAGTTGCTTTTTATCCTTTTCTTTATTCTCTTTAGTTGATAAGGTATATTCTGTCCAAGAGAATATTTAAGTAACATATATCATCTGGGTTGAAAGGATTAGCAATGTAATGTCCTTTGCTGGCAGAGTTGACATTGTTTAAATGGAACATTTCACCAATGCTGTGAAAGAACAAATGTCATGGGGTGATTCTGTTGGCTGGAGAAAAACTGAGCTTACCTGTTGAATGCAGGTGTTTTTTTAGTTCAGTTTTTACCTGTAAATTGACAAGTAAAGACTTGCTTAAAAATCACTGTTTCTAGTTCAACAGAAAGCTTTGGAACTAACTGCAGTCTAGTAAAAGCAACTGTCTTTTTGTGAGCATGAATATGTATGCTGTGTTTTCTTTTTGTCTGTTTTAAAATGAAGATTAGGTTCATCCTTTTTCTAAATGTATCCAGTCTAGCTATGTCACACACAAACACATGGTAGGGAATCTCAGTTCAGTTATCAGATTCATAATTAATCTCCTTATTTCCTGAGTCAAACTGCTGTTATAAGTGGATCTAACTATCTGAACTAACTAACTGTCACCTGAAAATATCATATTGATAATTATGCTGTTTTCATAGCCTTATAAAAAGGAAAACAATTGTAGATTTTCTGTTTGTTTGTTTTTCTTATGTCATGTAAAACACAACAATAATGTTAATTGGTTACCTTCTTTAAGGAATGTCTTATGCTACAATTTGTTTCTCAGAAGTTTTGTTTCAAATATTTCATTACTTACTGCTTCTGTTTAGTTTTAAAATGAAAATACCACAGTTTAGGGTTCTATTATAAGTAATTACTGTAATTATATACGTTTACAAGAAGTTAAAATAAGATAACATTGTGGAAAGAAAAAAATTTCACTTCCTAATTAAACTACTATTTTTGATTAAATAGGGACTGGAGATGGTATGTATGAAAAACCATATACAGATCGAGCAGGAATATCTACCACAACCATTATCATCATAGTTGTAGTATTTATACTCCTAATATGTATCCTTCTTGACTTGGTGGCATACTTCCGGTACCATTGGGGTGTTTCGTATTTCTTCAGAAGTATGTGTAAAAAACCAGTAAAGAAAAGCAATACAAGTGCTACCAAGACTAGAGATTTTAAAGCTTGGTAAGTGTTCAAAAGGAAACATATAATATTTGGGAAGGTTCATTAGCATTAAAAAAAAGCTTCCTAGATTAAAGAAATTTAAATTGACTGCTATGAACGGAAGACTTAGAGGATTATTGAAAATCAAGAGCATGAGTCAAACAGGAAATTAGGAAATCAAAAAAGTTATTTGAAAACATTTGGCTGAAAATTGTTAAATTAACAGTAAGAATTTCTTTAAATACATTAAGAGCAAACAAAATGTCAGAATTAGAGTAGGGCCTTTGAGGATCCATCTCTGATAATTATTAGATGGCTGCATTATTAAATTCTCATTTTTTTTTAGATAGTCAACATGGTGTCAGCGAACTTATCCTTCACACCCACAGAATCATTTTTTAGGAAGCCTCTTATATGGCATCTTGTCAAATGCTTTCTTAACCCTGCATTAGTCTTCTGGGGTCTTCATGGATCCCAAATATTTTGTAACTATTGGCACTGACAGATGGAAGCACATACATATTTGTTGTTCTCAGTAGCTTCAATATTTGGCTAGTTTGTGTTAAATTGTTACACTTAGTTTAGGTGGTAAGAAAGAAACAAGTTGTAATATTCAATGTTCATTTATTGATTAATAAATGAAAATATTTTAAGTGTGTTTTTTGTTTCCAAAGTAATAGCTTATTATTATTTAAATATTTCTAAATTACTGTTTGTGACGGGGTCTGCTTGGACCCTGGAAAATTTTTACAGAAGACTTGCGCAGAGTTAATATCCAGATACAATAAATAAATAAGCAATAGCCTCTTCAAAAATGTCAAAAGATTAGTAAGGTAAGATTTTCTTCTACTCATTGGATGGAAGAAAGCAGAGGGTTGTTATAAATGCAGTGCAGTGAAACTGAATTAATGTTGCAAGTAGAGTACCTCAGGGCTCAGTGTTAAGGCCTTTGCTAATTTTGATTTATATCAATGACTTAGATAAATGAATGATTTTAGGTTTTGCTGGCTTTGACTACATTTCTGCTTTACAAAAGAAAAGGTTTTGGATTATTTGGTTGTTTGGGTGAATAAATGGCAGATGGCTTTTAATATTAATAATTGCAAGGTAATGCATATGGGTTATCAGAATTTGAGTTATACGTATAATTGTATTGACAATGACCTTGACCTTATGGAAGAAAAAGATATCTTGGTGTTCTGATTGATCAGTCTTTTAAGCCATCCAAGCAATGTGGTATTGCTGGTGGAAGGGCACATAGGATTTGAGGTTGTATCTATAGAAATATTGAATACATGTCTAAAGAGGTTATAAATGTTATTTTATAGATCATTAGTTAGGCCACATTAGTAATACCATGTTCATGTTTTCTCTTGAAAAAAAAGAAGAGTTAGAGGGGAATTTATTTGATATTATTGATACATCATTTTTTTTTCATATTTAATGGTGAGAATAGTTGGAATATGAGACACAGATATAAATTTTGGCAAAGTAGAATCATCTTCAGCTATGACAGCTTTATTTTTCTAGCAAGGTGTGTAGCCTTTGGAATGGGTTGCCTTCAGATGTGTTAGATGCTATTAATTTAGTGTAGTTTAAGGGAAGACTTGATAAATACTTGAATGATAAATGCTGGCTTTAAGGTTTTTTAATATTGTTATTATTGTGAAGTTTAATGGATCGAACAGCTGCTTAGATGGACAAACTAGTCCCTTGTTGTTCTAAAATGTTAAGTTACATTATGTTGAAAACATGACTAATGAATGTATAGAAGGCCAATATTTTAAAAGTTTCCTTAAAAATCAACCCATGGCATATCTGTACCACACTTGTACATAAATGTTTGAAAGTGTGATTCTAATTTTTGAGATCAAAAGCTAACATATATTGTGTGAAGCACAATTAGTATGCAAAGCATGGTAATGCTGTGGGGGTCTGGAAACATGCAACTATTTCAAGACAAAAAATGCTAATGCTTGATTAGAAGAATATAGACTATGTGGAAAATGTTAAATACATAAGCAGCTGTGCTATTACTATATAAGCATAATTTTTTTACTATCCAAAAATAGGGGGTTTGACAAAACCCCCCTCGACCCTCCAGCATATGTATGTGCAGACACTTTGTCTATAGAAATTTTTTGTATTTTCACAGTTTTAATTTAGTTTTCCAATATATCTTCAGTTTGTTTTTAGTATGCTGTACTTTAATGTCAGTATATTTTCCTTCTAGAAAAGATCATCCTCCAGTGGGTTAGCGGTAAATTCCCGGACTTACAATGCTAAAATCCAGGGTTTGATTCCCCATGGTAGACAAAGTACAACTTTGCATTAAGGAACTTCAACAACAACTAGAAAAGTTCAGATTTCTAATTGTCATACCAAATATATGCAGATCATCAAGAATGTTTTGATTTCAAATACATTTAAATTTTTAATCCAGTACATAATCATCTCTTTATTAAACTCAAAATCATTTCTATTTTTAAAATAATGAACCTTAATATTGACTATATATTTAGATAATTCAAAAATTCAACTATGTGAGTAAATTATTCTACATTAATATCTCGGTGGAAATGAACACATTTTATCTGCTTTATTGGAGAATTTAGTCAGTAAGAATTGTAGCTGGATTAATAATTAGTTGCCAGTTTTTTATGTTATGTTTGTAGTATTGCATATTGTCTGATGCCATATTGTTTATGGAAATTGGAAAAGACAATCAAAACTGAAGCTTACTTACTTTTGATTGCTACTTTTTGTTCTGCATCTGTACATGTATTGTCAGATTTATGTTGTTTTGATAAAATTCAAAAACATTTATTTCTATTAATATGAACTTCTTGATTGATTGAATAATTGTAAGATTAGATAATAATATTCCAAAAATCCTAAGTCACAAATTTGACATTATCAATTTTTGCCTTTATAAAATTCTTGACCAACTTATTAACCAGTCAGACTTCCTATACCTTTTGCCAACGTTCAGTCCCATTCCTTGTAAAATAAATATTTAACACGTGCATTTTGATATTTTATTTTTCACATGCAGACTTACTAGTGTTAAGAACATTTTTGTTTGAATATAAAAAAACTAGATTTGATTTGGAAATTTTGTGTTGAATTACTTTTTCTTAAATATATGAATAAATTTTGTATATAATATTTGTATAAGCTATTAAATATCATTGTTAAATTACAAATGATTTATATTCGATCCTAATTTATTACTTTTGACTGAAGTAGCGAATTCATCAGAAGACTTCCCTACAAATATGTAATAAGACTTGTATTATCTTTATACTCATTTATATCTAGAGAAAAATTGAGTTACTGATCACAGGAATTAACTTGCAATAGTATAAAGCAACAGTAACGGGTTTATATTTCATGTAAACTAAAGCTTAAACTGTTAAAGTTATTGCCTTATAGTTCCACATATTTGGTATAACTAAGAATTTAGTGGCAGTAAACTCCCTTACTATTTTGTTTAATTTTTTGTTAAAGGTTCCCATGCATATTTCAAGTACCAAATTTGAAATATTTAGGCTTGAAAAGTATTTTATACTATGCCAATCTTACAAATAAAATTCTATAAGTAGCCATTTTACTTAAAAATAAAAGTTAATAACTATAAGTATAAGATCTATATTATTGTAACATGTTATGTCATTGGGTTGATTCTTATGAATTACTTGGGGAAATAAGGTAAAGCCTAGTCCATGTAAAAATAATGAATTAGTTTATTTCTTTTATAGGTTTTTTACAGGATATGTTTATTGATATACTATTGTAGGAATAAGTTCAAAAACAGCATTTCAACGAAAATTCCTAGCTAATGGTACTACAACTAACATGCAAATAAACTTAATTGTACAATTTCATGGCTAATTGATCAAGTAACTAAATATATTCAATAACTACAGTTGTGTAGGAAGGAGTTACAAAGTGGGGATGCTTGACTAAACATGCAGATATAATAATATAATTTACAATTGGTATATAAGTCAAATATGTAAAAGTGGGAGTGCTGTAGCACCCCTGATTCCAATGCCTCTGACTAACTTGAAGATGTGAAAATGGGAAAACGGAGAGCAAAACAAAAGGCAAGGGGCTGACCCCCAACCAGGCCAAATAGATATAAAAAACAGGAAATATAGAAAGGAAGGGAAGAATATAAATCAGGACCAAAGAGGCAGGAACACAAGGGAGATGAAGCATATGGGTGTGAGCGAGGAGCTGTTAAAGGAATGATACAGCATAAACCCTAATAACAAGCAAGGAGGAAAGAGAAAGCAATCCCAAGAACTGGATTGAAGGAGTGAAAAACAGGCAAAGGAGGAAAGAGAAAGCAATCCCAAGAACTGGATTGAAGGAGTGAAGAACAGGCAAAGGAGGAGTTACTTCGCATGGAGGTTGTGTTGCCTCCTATTGGTGGGGGGGCTAATGTACATTGTTACTCACACAGAACTAAGTAGAAGTCACCAACATTTGAGAATTCAAGATAATCAATGCTTTTGAAAAAAAAAGCCTATGTAAAATGAAAACCAAAGTTTTGTAAATTAACTCAAACCTCAACAATTTAATTTAGATGAGAAATTTGAACACATTTTGTTCAATATAATGCCGAGGAAAAATGATAACATGAGTGCAAGTGCGTATGGGGAGTTACTGTACATGGAGGTTGTGTCACTCTCCTATTGGTACAGGGTTATTGTCGTATGATGACATCATCATGTACCAGTGCAGTTCACATTAAATAAGTGAATTTAGGTTGGAGTTAGCTCAACGCTAATGGCATGCAAATCTCATGGGCAGATGTTTGAGGGAAATAGCATTTATGTGTGTGGAGGGGATTTACCATCTCGGAGACTTTATCTCATAACCGTCCTATGTTCCCTCTCCTCCCTCCACCTTTGTTATGAGGCACTTCATCATACTTTAGAGGTTTTTTTTAAAGAGGCTCATTCCCTTACCCTTGCCAGCTTAGCCTGTTCCACTTCATCTGCTCTGTCACTTCTTAGTTCCCCTGTTTTTAGGACGAGTTGTGTACATAGTCTTCGTCAATGTCCCTTTCTTTGACCAGACATGTTTGGTGGTGTTCATTTCTCACTAAAGACCTAAACCGACATTGGATCACTTTAGTCCTTGTTATATTCGAAGTATTTCTTCGTTTTTGGCCATGCCTTTGACTTCTCTTCCTTGTGTGGATCAGTCTACTCTTCCCATTCCAGGTTCCAAGCCTTTCTCCTTTCTTGTCCTCCTTATACCCAATGTCTGGTTCATCACTTTTCTTGTCAGTGGCTATCCTGTCATATCAGGCCTTGTGGGTACCCATCTCTTTCTCTTTTATAGTCATTGGTCTCAGTTTCTGTTGACAGACGTTTTTAATGTTTTTTTTCCCACGTTCTCTCTCCCCATTTCTCTTCCTTTTGCTCCTCTTCCAATTTCCTTTTCTCCTTCCCCTGACCCTGTCTGTTGTCTTTTTTATTACCTGGTCTGTGGTTGGCCTTGGGCAGACACCTTCCCATGTATCTCTGTTGCCCCATCCTTCTGACATTTTCAACATTCCATCTATATGGTTCACATCTTCCAATTCCTTGCTCTTCTCTTTGACATACCATCGGCCTCATTTGTATTCATTGTTACTGAGCAACAACTTTACAGCCTGTGGCTGTTATTCCTTTTCTTGGACAATTGACTTCTATTGGCCCATTCTTGGGTGGTATCCTCTTCTCATACAACCCTTCTTTTGCAAGAGGCTATTTGATAAGGGTGACAAGTCAAGATACTTAAGTCTTTTCTCACACCCGCTCAATATTTGGTACATCTGGGCATTTTTTATCTGTTATCTCAGCCAAGCTCAGGCTTTTCCTTTTTGCATACAAGCTATGGAGTATCTGGTCACTAGAATTTGTGCTTATTCTCATCATGCACAAGTGATTCTTTGGTTTTGGGGGACTCTGGCTTCCCTGGAGCCTCTCATTCCTTTGGAGCATGCATACATGTACCTCCTCCAGTGAACATTTCAGATCCAATGGATTCTTCCTTGGATTCCATTGTCCTTGATTTTTAACTTCCTTTCTCCACAAGGTATTGTCATGGTGGCTGAGCTGTGCTGATACTACTTTTGATGTTCCCTTACCAACCCCAAAGCTGAATCTATTTCTTCATTGATGCTTCTCTCTTGAGTCAAGATGCATCTCTAGACAACGACATGACTTCTTACATTTGGACACAGGACAAGCATTCACTCCAAACTTCTTGTTTTCATCAGGCACGTTTCCAATTCCTGCCTCTTCTGGTGGATCCACTGCACCATTTCCATGGTTGTTTTTTACATTAACCATCAAGAGGGCACACATTCAAAGACTCACTGCTATAGGGAAGTGGACATACTCTTCTGAGCTCATTCACATTGGAGTCATTGTTTTTCCTGTCATGTGCCTGGAGCTCTGAACAATGTAGCAAACTGCCTCTCATAGCCAGACTACATTCTACCCATGGTCTCCCCACCCCATATCTTTTGTTCAATTTACTCTTGGTGGGACATGCCCTTCATAGATGCACTTTCCATCCCTCTCAACTCCAAGCTTCTTCTATTATGGTCCCCTGTCCCTCATCCTTCGGATCTGGTTGTGAAAGCTCTCAGCCAGAACTAATCTCATCTTTTTTGATATGCCTGTCCTTCTCTTTGGCTTTTCTCTCTTGTCCTCACTTTGATATGTGAAACTCCTTCTCAATTCATACTATGGCACTCCTTTGGCCAACTCAAACTTGGTTTACTCTGTTTATTTGCTTGGCATCCAGATCCTCTTTCCTATACCCAATGTCCTTTTACTCTTGCTTCAACCTTACATGTCCCTTTTTCATCTAGGGATGTTGTATCTCCACCATATTCTGTTGGATTTGTTTGGTCCATCACCTGTCAGACAGGACTCCCCTATTGCATAGCCTTCTTCTTGTCACATTCCTGTTGCCCTTTGACTTTGTCTGTCTATTGACAAAAGTGGCAATATTTTCTTTTTGGTCCATCTGCTATTCCTTTCCTCACAGCCATCCTACTGTAAATCACTTTCTGTCATTTTTAATTGTCTGTTCAACCATGTTTTGTTGGTCTTCACCATCATGGGTTATCAGGCAGCATTGTCCACTACATCTCACATTTCCCAGTACCACATGGTGTTTCCTTCCCTTCCTCTCCACTCTCTTCTTCACTGACCTCCTTTCCTGATTCCCATGCTTGACTGGGTCCTTAATGTGGTTTTGCATACTCTCTTGTGTACTCTTGCTCTTTGTACTACCTCTCTCTCATGTCTTATTTCCTTTTTTCTACTTTCCTGTGATCACCATCATTCGGATGCCTATGCTGTTGATACTTTTTGCACCTTCTTCCACCACACTTATATATGTATACTCCTCTACCTAGACCTACATATCCTTCCTCAGTCTTCTGCTACTTGGAAAGGTAACTGTACTTTCTCTCCCTATCTCCCTTCCTTCTACTTCTCACCTAATTTATTTCAGACCTGGATTGACTCCTTGTCTTGTATGAGGAGTTCATCATTACCTATCATAGACATCTTTTTGTGGCTCCCTGCCATCATCTGTTCCTACCCTGGGACCTCTCTCCTTTTGTCCTTACTGGATGGGTCTGTCAACTCTTCTATTTGGTTTATTTTTTCCTTGAGTGTGGATGCTTGCAGGCTAGTTCACATTTCTTTGTATGATTTGTCACATTTGTCGTTTTCTTGCTTCCCATACTTGAGTTGACCCACTGTCTTTGAGATGGGTATGTTTCCCTTTTATTTCTCTTCCTTTCCATTGAACAGGATCCCACCAGATGGCTGGTGTTGCCTCCCAGGTTATGCTTATTTCCAAGAATGAGCAGGATAATGGAAAGTGTTCAGCCCATCTGCTCTGACTCTACCGGTGCCCACTGCAAGAAGAGGTGTTTTGCCAGACCATTTGATATATCCTCATGTTTAACATATTTACTCAATCATCCAATTAGGACTGTATCAATTCCATGGGTTATGATGGAAAAAACCAACACCAGAGAACTGAGTGACTACTCACTTCTTTTGCTTGCATTTGCCCATTTTAAAAAATATGATTTTGCAGTCACCCATTGTGCTGTCTCTAGTAAAACACCTTTTCAGCTG